GAGAGAGAGAGAGAGAGAGAGAGAGAGAGAGAGAGAGAGAGAGAGGTTGAAGTAAAGCTGAGAAAAGCACACTTCGCAAGAGAATCATGATGCTGACTAAGACATTTCGGAATTATAAAAAGAAAAACAAAAAACAAAGACCCACCGTTCATTCTGGAATCTGGATCAATTTTGCAACCCCGTGCGTACCTCTCCCCTCTCTCTCCCTCCCAGACCCTCCACACACACACACACATAGACAGCGCACAACAGGGGAAGATTTTGAAGAGACCAATGAAAGTGCAGTCTACACAACTTTCCAGAAACGGTAATGAATGCTGCGAGAGACATTTTTTTCATTAGAAATTTAGAACACTCAAAAGTTGACAAAAGTGTTTTGAAAGTCCATCGCCATTTCTTCCTTTTCCATCTAAAGGAAAAAGCTTACTTTTTTTTTTTTTTTTTTTTCATCAGAGGAAAAAATTAAGCCCCACCTGGCCCACCATCTATTCTTTCTCTATTGAAGGAAACTCGGCCCAACCAAGAACGATTAGGAAGAACTTTGTTAAAAAAAAAAGAAAAAAAAGGGAAGAACTTTGTATCCTTTTGAGCTACGGGAAGTTGAAAGTATAAATTTCAAAAGGATAACTACCCTCTTCTTCTTCTTCTTCTTCTTTTTTCCGCTTAACAGTCTTTATGGGTGAAGGGACCGTCACTGCCCAACTTTCTTGAGAAATCAATTAAAGACAACCATTCTTTTGCTGATCTATGGACTGTGACAAAAACAAACAGACACAAATAAACAGACACAAACAAACAGACACAAGCAAACAGACACAGACAAAAAGATACAAATAAACAGGCACAAACAAACAGACACAAATAAACCATCACAAACAAACAGACACAAAAAGACACAGAAAACTTGGTGATTATATATTTACAGTCTTGGTGCATGTGGAGGAATGTGCACTCGTTCCCTGCTCAAGCACACACAGAGGTAGAGAGTGTTGCAGTTCTAGGGTGTTGCAGTTCTAGGGTGTTGCAGTTCTAGGGTGTTGCAGTTCTAGGGCGTTGCAGTTCTAGGGTGTTGCAGTTCTAGGGTGGTACAACACACACACATACACGCACACACACACACACACACACACACACACACACACACACACACACACACACACACACACACAATCAGTTTTATGTCTGTCAGTCTTTCTCCTGTTGTCTGTCCTCCCTCTGATTTTTTCTAAGTAATTTTCTGTGTGCCCAACTGATCACCCTTAAGTAGTGCCAAACAGTCGGTGATTCCTCGTTTGGAGTGCCTACTGCACTCTTAGGGCGGCCCCTCGTTTCGGGATGTCTGTGTTGCCTGTAGGCTGTAGGTGATGACGGATGCTCGTTGGAGTGACTCCCTGGCTCAGTGGATGGTGGGAACCAACAGTCTGCGGGTTCAATCGTGATGTGAGTAGGTCATGTGCCGCTTTGCTCCGTGTTGGGATGTGAGGACTGCCTCATCTGTGCTCCGCTGCTGCCTTGCTGCCTGTCCCGCTTGCTTCGCATGTGGTTCTCTGCAAATTGCTGTGTCCACAGTGTGGTGTGGCCGAGTTGCTGGTGTTGCCTTGCGCTCCGCTGCCTCGCCGCTCATCCGATGGCCGTGCCTTCCGTGTGCCTTGCTTGCACGCCTTGTACTTTGGTTGGCTTGTCAGTGTTGCCTTGTGCTTCACCGTATGGTTGCTCTGCTGCTCGTCCGCTCGCCCTGTCATCCCTTGCAGCGTGGTTGTCTCAGTGGTGTTGCCTTGCGCTTCACTGCGTAGATAACGCATTGTGTGTCCTGCATGCCAAGTTGTTCCTTGCAGTCGTTTTTGGCGTTGTGCAGCCGTGTTGCCTCCACTGCATCGCCTGGTGCTCCGCAGGGTAGCTGCCCGCTGCTGCTATGTTCCGCTGCGGGATAGTCTGCCTTCAACATGGGTCAAACGGTTCATGACCCAAACCATCAAATACGGAGATTCCGCAGATTGTCGAGGGTTCAGCCTCCTGATGAGTCGGTGCAACTCCGACGAAACAATCTTGTTATCAACTTATCATCAGTTTTTATTTTTGTCAGTTTTGTCTTTTGATCTACTGTTGTTGCTTTTGCGGACTTGTGTTATCTATCTCCCCGCTCGCCTCGCCCTTCCCCTCACTGTCTTTGTCTTCCGTGGGTACTACTTGTTTCAGCCTATGTCTATGTCTTCCATGGGTACTACTTGTTTCTCAGCTCACTGTCTTTGCCTTTTCCTATCTTGCTTCTGCGCCCGCCCGCCTCCCCCATGCCCGCCAGCCTATGTTTTCTGTTGTTGCGTGTCATGTATGTGCCTCGTACGTATCCTCCACGTGCATTACCTCCTGTTTGCTGCTCTCTGCCCCCTCTCCATGTTCTAGTCTATTTGGCTTCAGCAGTAGGCATTGAACTTCTCTTTGTTTGCTTGTTTTGGTCATGCCATATCAAGTGGACGATTTATTTCCTGGTATGTTGCTTGATGTGCTTTTTCTGCACAGCTTGCCACGTCTGTTCACGTGGGGGTTTAGTATCAAACTACATGCACACACACGCACGGCCTTCGTGTGTGTGGGCACTTGGCGCTGAACCACACAAACATGGCCAACCTTGCATTTTCTATCATACTGTCTATCTATACGTTTTCGCTATGGATGGTTTGTTATGATTTGTGGAGGGAATGAGATAGAGAGTTTGGGGTGCTTTGTAAACACGCACACACACACACACACACACACACACACACACACACACACACACACACACACACACACACACACACACACACGCATGTGGGCACTTCCCGCTCAACCACACAAACGTGGGGAACCTTGCCTCTTTTTCTGTTCTATGGATGGTTTATGATGATCTGTGGATGGAATGGGAGAGAGAATTCGGGTTTTTTAAGAAAACACGCACACACACACACATCCAAGAAGAGGAAATTTAAAAAGAAGAAAAAAGGGAACGATAATGACGTCCAGCATCTGAGTGCAGAGGAAACCCAGCGCTTACCGGGAGCGTTTCAAAGTCACACTTTCTTTGAGAATGTGCACTTCAATACAGAAATACCGTACGTGTTACAAACCAACTTAACAATTATTAAAAACAAATTAAAAAAATAAATGGACTTTGCTAAGGTATGGAAAAGAAAAAGGACTTGCTAAGTTAGACCAGCTGCTGTCATTTACGGACACAGTCACACAAGGACTTCTTCGACCGAATCTGGCTACAATTGCTGTCCGATACATGCACAAAAGCCCCTGTGCGCATACGCAATGCGTGCCATGGCTGCACAGCTGGAGGACTTTGTAGCCTCCATTCAGGTGTAGTTGAATTCGGCTCAACTGCCCAAGGCGCTTGCAGAGTGCGCATACTTCTCACTGGTTAAAGTGAGATAAACAACCACAAAAAAAAAAAAAAAAGTTCGAAAAAGTTGAAAAACTAAAATTCATGGCTATGATCTGGACGTCCGGGCCGCCGTCCAGACGGTCTGGATTCAGTTCGGACTCCAGACGTCCGGTCTGGAAGGTCCGGATCTGCCAAAATTCGAGGAAAATGGATCGGGCTCTTCTTGAAGATTGTGGAGGCTAAGAGGATCGGATCGGATCGGGCTCTGCTTGCACAACTGCGGCTCAATCCTGTGGAGGGCGCAGGAGCTGTATGGAGGCGGCTGCCTAAGTGTCGGGACGCTTTCATGTACCATGGAAACGACTGGACACGCAGTCATCCTCTTCTCCTCACTGTCTGCGCCACAAGAGAACCTACCTACCTTTGCCACCCATCGAAATGTGCAAACACCGAAAACGGCGAAACCTTTTTTTTTTTTTTTTTTTTTTTTTAAATCCACCTGCATCAACAGCTAGGAGTGATGATAAGAGGAGAACGGATAAACCTGGAAATCACAAAAAAAAAAATTCTGATAGCAGTCCCCCCTCTTGTTAGGCGTCGAGTGCCACAAGGGAAAAGCTGTTCCTTGCTCTATCTTTACCACCTGTGCCTCCTTGCTTGCCGGTACTAAGCAACCGAACTGATATGCCCCCCCCAGAATACCAGGGGATTTGTGTTAAAAAAAAAAAAAAAAAAAGGAAGTGTCAAGTTTCAACATACGCACACACTCCTTCGCTACACACAAAAAAAAAAAAAAAAAAAAAAAAAAACAGCCCGCTACCTTGTGTTCCCTTTATCTCTGTGGTGACATGAGTGCCATCGTCTCTTTCCAGAGGTCTGGACAGACCGAAATCTGCCACCTTTGCCTCGTACATTTCGTCAAGAAGGATGTTGGCTGGCTTGATGTCTCTGTGAACGATGCACGGCTTCACATGGTTGTGAAGATAATCAACCTGCAAAAGAATAAGTGCAACCAAACAACAACAAGTCAAAAAGAAAAGGAAAAAAAAAACAACAACAGTGCGATGAAACCATCCGTCACGACGAAGTCTGACGAAACAATCCGTCAAGAAAAAAAGTCCATTGCAACAACAGTCGGTCGTAGTCCCCGGCCTTTTGTCCGTGCGTCCCCGTCCAGGTATGAGCGGTTCACAGGCAACCTGGGAAGATCATGTTCCAATCCCTCTACGTTTGGGGCCGCATACCGAGTAGGGACCACAAGGGGAGCTGTTTTGGCAGAGACGTTCATCAAAATTTCGAGATGCCACGAGCAGGACAGCAAAAATATATGCTCTGGAGTCTGGATTCAAATTCGGGTCTGTGGTGCAGCAGTTATGGGTTCAATTGGGTTGCTACTACTTACTACAGTCGCACTCTCTTCTTTTTGTTTTCCTTTATGTGCAGTGGGCCTAAGGGCCTCGCTCCACTAGTCAGTCACCAATCGCACAAAAGACAGAACATATGGCGGCGGCGTATGGTTCCATGTTCTAGGAGAAGATTCATTCCAGTTTTGCACATTTGGTGAGTAGTGAAGGGAAGCCCTGAAAATCACGTGCTGAGTCAGTAAGTTGGCAACCCATAACTGCTGAAACACGGACCTGAATTCAAGAATCTACATTATATATAGTTGCCCTCCAACGAAACAGTTTGTCACAGGCCCTCGTTTGTTGTCCTGTTCTCCGTCTCACCGCAGGCAGCTCTGTTTGACGATACATAGTTGGCCTGCTGCTTCCCTACCATAAGCCCAACGCCTACCTCTTCTTGGTGAGGGAACCCCTGCTAATTATCTGCAGGGGCCTTTCGGATTACCCGCAGGGGTTTTCTGATTTATGTGAAACAGCTCTT